CTTTCTTTCTTTCAATTCACCTTCCCTCACATGAACTTCAGAAAGAGCAGCCCGTAGGTTGATTTAAGTTCATGAAAAACGGACCAAACCAAAACTTTCACACGCTAACCTGTACCCTTTCTCTCGTCTTTTTTTTTTGTCACGCAGAAATGCGTAAATAACCCTACCGGTATCTTTCCTGGCTAAGCATTAAGCAGGATGTATGGTGTGCACATAGTGCACTTATTCAGGTAAAGTCAAATTAGATTAAGCGATAATAGAAGGAGAAATAACCTAAAGTCTGACTTCATCAGTCACGTAGCCTCAATTAATATTTATCCACCAGGCTGGAGTCTTCTATATTCTCCGTTTGAAAAACGAGTGTGTGGTTTGAAACATCTACACTACAGTAACCACCTCCCACAACGTGCATGCATGCACAGTTTAGGTAAGCATGAGTGTATTTTTCCTGCAATAACAAAAAATAACCAGGACGAACCAACACTGACCATACACCAGCTTTCACCATGAACCCACTCTATACACACAATTCGGACCTAAATTATGTAATCTGTATCTTGTTGTAGCCTGCTTGTCCTTAGATTTACTCGTGGCATCAATTAATATTTATTCGCCGTGCTAAATACTCCAATATGCTTCAATTATTCAGTTTAAGAAAACAGTAGGGTCTTTGAGAGATCTTTATTTCAACACAAGCCCCCCCCCCCAGGTATGCACAATCTAGATAAACAAGAGTGAATTTTCCTGATGTTGCATTGGAGACGTGTTATGTTTGTAGCTGTTACGTGTTACAAAACACACGTATTTGATATTTACTAAATTTATCACTCAATATATTGTCTGCAGCTGGCCGCAACACAGAGGAGGCAATCTTCAATGATTTCCCCGGAATTTCTTTGAAGAAGGAAAAGCAGCGATGAAGTCTTAAATATTGAAACCTACCTCCCTGGTGTAAAGATGTTTTAAATTGTCAACTGGCTACTCGGCACGTGTGAGCTTTCGCTTCTAGTTTCTTTTTCAGATAATGGTCTGGAGCTGAGAGTTATCACTGTACAGAAGTCTAGAGGGGAGTTTAGATACACAAGAGTAAATTTTCTCGGAGATGTTGCATTGGTGATATTTTTAGAAACGTTTTGTTTGTAACCGTTACGTGTTTTGAAACACACGTATTGATCTTTTTTTATTTACTACATAAATCACTAAATAGACTAAAGCTGGCCGCAACACTCTATTTATAAATCATTCAATGAGTTCTACGGAATTTCTTTAAACAAGGAAAAGCAGCGATGAAGCATTGAATATAAAAATTTGCCTCCGTTGTGTAAATGTGTTTTAAATTGGTGGCAATGCAGTATCCATTGGCCAGAGAGGTGGCTAATAGACACTACTCTGGCCAATGGATACTGCCCCGCCACCGTATGATCTGCTTGGAGATTACCATTCAACATGCAACTTTCCCCATGTCATGCGTCTTTATGATACTCGTACCATGTATATTCGTGAGGATCCCACTCCATATATAAATTAATTTGGACCTAAATCATGTAATCTGTAAGTTGTGGTCTGTCTCGCTTTCAATTCACCTTCTCTCACATGACCTTAACGAAAAGCAGCCTGTAGGTTGATTTGCGGCCATGAAAAACGGACCAAACCAAAACTTTCACACGCGAACCTGTACCTTCTCTCTCGACTTTTTTTTTGTCACGCAGAAATGCATAAATACCCCTACCGGTATCTTTCCTGTCTAATCGTTAAGCAGGATGAATGGTGTGCACATAGTGCATTTCTTTAGGTAAAGTGAAATTAGATTAAGCGATGATAGGAGGAGAAATAACCTAACGCCTGACTTCATCAGTCACGTAGCCTCAATTAATATTTATCCGCCAGGCTCTTCTATATTCTCCGTTTGAAAAACGAGTGAGTGGTTTGAAACATCTACACTACAGTAACCCCCTCCCACAACGTACATGCATGCACAGTTTAGGTAAGCATGCATGAGTGTATTTTTCCTGCAATAACAGACATAACCAGGACGAACCAACACTGACCATACACCAGCTGTCACCATGAACCCACTCTATACACACAATTCGGACCTAAATTATGTAATCTGTATCTTGTTGTAGCCTACCTGTCCTTAGATTTACTCGTGGCATCAATTATTATTTTATCCGCCGTGCTAAATACTCCAATATGCTTCAATTATTCAGTTTAAGAAAACAGTAGGGTCTTTGAGAGCTCTTTATTTCAACACAAGCCCCCCCCCCCAGGCATGCACAATCTAGATAAACAAGAGTGAATTTTCCTGATGTTGCATTGGAGACACGTTATGTTTGTAGCCGTGACGTGTTACGTATACAAAACACACGCATTTGGTATTTACTAAATTTATCACTCAATATATTGTCTGCAGCTGGCCGCAACACAGGGGAGGCAATCTTCAATGATTTCCCCGGAATTTCTTTGAAGAAGGGAAAGCAGCGATGAAGTCTTAAATATTGAAACCTACCTCCCTGGTGTAAAGATGTTTTAAATTGTCAACCGGCTACTTGGCAAGTGTGAGCTTTCGCTTCTAGTTTCTTTTTCAGATAATGGTCTGGAGCTGAGAGTTATCACTGTACAGAACTCTAGAGGGGAGTTTAGATACACAGGAGTGAATTTTCTCATAGATGTTGCATTGGTGATCTAGATCTTTTTAGAAACGTTTTGTTTGTAACCGTTACGTGTTTTGATACACACGTATGGATTTTTTTATTTACTAAATAAATCACTCAATAGTCTGGAGCTGGCCGCAACACAGAGGAGGCAATCTGTTTATAATCATTCAATTCAATTCAATTCAATTCAGTCTTTATTAAACAACTCGCAGACTTAAGTCTGAATTGTGTTGCTCATTACAATATTCGTTTACAAGTATAATACAATACATAAACATTACAGATTAAAATATATCATAACACACAGAAGAGAAGACGTCTGTGCCGTTGGGTCACTCAGTGTACAAGATACTGCAGACACGACAGATAAGTGGAGTCTGAGCGCAAGTACTATATTGATTACTTGGCGTTTAACAGTTCAACTAAAAAGGAATTGGTGAGTTCTTGTGACGTGCAGACCGACAGAGTGGAACATCAAATTTATTTGCATTACGTGTACTTCTACCGGAAATGTTCTGTCTCAGCGGGGGCAACCAATCACGGAACTCAGAGTTCAGCAGGTTATCTGCGAATGCCCTACAAAGTTCGCGACGTCGGTCAGCGAGGGAGCTGAGGTTCAGGGTTGTCAGTGCCATGTTGTAGCTCGTATACTGTGATCCCAAGATGATTTTACAGGCCCTCATCTGGATCCGTTCTAGAGTCTAATCATACAATGATTTCTTCGGAATTTCTTTAAAGAAGGAAAAGCAGCGATGAAACATTGAATATAAAAAATTGCCTCCGTTGTGTAAATGTGTTTTAAATTGGTGGCAATGCAGTATCCATTGGCCAGACGGGTGGCTAATAGACACTCCTCTGGCCAATGGGTACTGCCCCGCCACGGTATGATCTGCTTGGAGATTACCATACACCAACTTTCCCCATGTCATGCGTCTTTATGATACCATGATACCATGTATGCGTAAGGATCCCACTCTATAAATCAATTAGGACCTAAATGATGTAACCTGTATGTTGTTATAGTCTGTCTTTCTTTCAGTTCACCTTCTGTCACATGACCTTGAGGAAAAGCAGCCCGTAGGTTGATTTAAGGGCATGAAAAACGGACCAAACCAAAACTTTCACACGCGAACCTCTACATTTTCTTTTTTTGTCACTCAGAAAAAGGCATTGACAAATAAAATGCACAGAGTAAAGGTTACGAAGTTATTTCGATTAGCTTTCACATACGTTTTGTTTTCTTTTCTTGCACTTTTCTGACACTTTTGCAGGGATAATGGTGGGTTGTAGATGGAAAAAAGTTGTATTTTAGCAGAGCACTAGTTAGTAAGGCCTTTTCTTTTCCTAACCCTCTTGCTTTGACTCATATCACTCTTTGAAAAATGTCAGGATACTGAAAACATTAACAGTTCTGGCATGATGTACAGTTTAATTGGATATATATTCTATCCATTCAGTAATATGTATTATACTGTATATATCTTACTTCAATATCACATTGGTGACTGTATGTTGCACATAATATTAAAGCATATTATCAACACTCTAAAACACTTTTGGAACCTGTCAATAGCGTGACTTTTCTGACAATTGTACAGTACATTACTGGAATCAGATACAATAAAAGATGAACATCCTTTTGTAGCAGAATGTAGTTTGTACAACTATTAGAGACCTGATTGTGAACATTATATACTGATCACATTGGTGTTTCCCTACTTCCTTCCTTCTTTCATTGAAGTCTAATATGCCTAATTTGAATACAACTTGAAGGTACATGTATGTAAATAAAGACACAGACTAGTTGAGTCTACACTGTACAGTGTACATGCACATCTCTCATTGATCGCTGGTGAATACAATACAACATGATTGTCCAGGTGTAGCCTACACCTGCAGGCCAGTAGACTGCCTAAGGCTGAGTACAATAAGCACATCCGCAGAACGTACTGACCCTGTGCGAAACCCGTAATGCATTGTACACAGTGCTTCAGCAGAATGTCTCATATATCTTATTATTTGCCATACATTGTACCCATGACAGTCGTTGTGCAATGAAATTTGACTTTGACTTGACTTGACTATAAGATCATATTCGTATATCAATGGTTGCTTTCAATAACATTGTCACAAACAATGCAGCCAAAACGGCTGAATTGTGTCAGGACAATTACAATTCGGATATTTACACATAAGGTTAACATCCCGTCTGTAGTTTCCAGATGTTGTGTCAGAAAAGGTATCCTCTGCAACAAGCAAAATTCTGATGCAACGTTGACCAAACATCCCATGAAAACCGTGCAAATTTCGGGTTTCACACAGGTGCTGTACGTTCAAACGTTCAAATTTTGCCGGTGTCTCAGTATTGTACTACTTCCAGACCTTGATGACCCCGTCCCTGGAGCAGGACAGGATGAGGGACTGTGCCACCTGACACACCGCGATGTCTGTCACCGTGTCCTGGTGTCCGGCCGGAGGGGTGTCCGGACCTCTCCGCGGGACGTCCTCATTGGTCCCTCCCCTCGGCTTACTGCTGGCCTCCTGAACCACCTCTGTACCGTCAATCATCCGGGCTCTGTTGATAAAAACATTACTCTTGATCAGCCATAGGAAATACGGTGCCAACAGTTCTTTCATCGCATTATAGTTATTGCCTGTTTTGTGTATTCAAGTTATATATTCCCATAATTGACTGTGTATATTTTGCTGCTGATGTGTTTTCACACATTATATTGTTTTTTGTATAGAGGAGGGCAACTTGTAAAGGTGCGTACGCACCTGTTTTGCCCTCCCTTTCACTTTGTGGAAAATACCAATAAACAAATATGCTTTACACTAGAAATGGTACAGCTTACTGATACAGAAATAAAGTAAATGAAGGCTTGACATTCATTTACTTTATTTCTGTATCTGTATCTGTATAGCCGGTATAATCGCCCTTTGGCTTAACACACCAGCTTCGTAGGCACACGGCTCAAATAAAAACATTAATCAACAAATGCAAAACAAAGAAAAAAACAGCATGCAGGAGGAGGAAAGAAGCCTCCAAGGCTTGTACAATGTCCTCCTCCTATTATCCAAATTATATGATACCATTAACAGTATAATGTTTGACTATTTTCAAAATCTAACCAGTCGCTTGAGTGAATATTGCTTTTAGTACTGTAACAGCTTACTGCTTGGTTTCCCTGCATTTTTTGTCATCTCCAAAATAACAGGATGGGCATATTGCAGCCACTCTTTAGATATGTCATCTAAGACCTTAAGATACATTTAGGGCTGGAATTATGTTCTTTCCCATCTCTGTAATGAAATGTGTGATTCATGATATTGATTTAATGTGCCAAATTGCAAGTTGCAATGCAAGTTGCAAAATTTTTTTTTCTCTGAAAGTTGAAGGAAATTTGTTTTGCATTCGTTAATCAATGTTTTTATTTGTGCAAATAAATAAATGAACTTAAATAAATGGATGTCTAGCCTTCATCAGTGCAGTACACAACAATGCTTAATATCATGTAGAACCAGATTGCAGGTCAAAAATAACAAAACAGAGAAACTCACACATAAGATGTTGACATGACTGGATCATTGGCGGCACCTGCCACCACATAGGACTTGTCAGGGTAAACCAAGTCCCACATTCGTATCCTCTGATCCGACCCTGCTGTCAGGAGGAAGGGGTTCCCATCTCCAGGGCTGCAGTACATCCCGAACACAGAATGGTTGGAGGCCTGAAATATAATACAGAAAAGTTCTTCAATCTGTGTGTTCATTTCCAACTAGCTCACATGGGTATAGTCTTCACAATTGGCAAACAGCACTCCTTCTGACAAAACAAGTCAACTCTGCAGGTACTGTTTATACATGTAGGTGCCCAATGCAATCTCAGGGCTTTAAAACCAGATTTTCAAAGCAAAATTCTATGTAAATATTACGTAGTAAGTTCAAACAACACAATTCCACTGCATATTGACATTTATGGAGCAAAAATGTCATGTTGTTGTGTAGCGAGAACTCATTAAAAAAGCTGCATGCTGCCAGTTGGGCTAATGTATAATTTGGAGGTTTCAACAAATAAATGACTCTTTGTGCAGTTTGTTTCTGCACCGTTTTTAAACACTCAAAGTATGACTTAATGATGCAAATGTGCCAATAAGGGGCAATATGTCAATATCACACAGATTGCCTTAATCAGAATATTGGGTGCCTTTAATCCACCTGATCTAACTATAGTGGGTTAAGGCAAAATGCATATCTTTGTGTAAAAATTCACTGCCATATAAGAAGGAAATTTGCCTTCAATGTACATATCTGTGAAAAGCAAGTTCTATTTTTTTCACACATCCACAGACTGTTGGATAAAATGTTTGAACACAATTGTAGGTCAGTATACCTGCCACGTGGCTGATGTTGGTGACAGGAGTCTTGTTTGGACCGCAGTTTATGTAGGGGTTGTAGAAGTTAACCATTACAACGCCCTTGTTGTCTTTCTGAAAAGAATTGATAATGAAAGAAGCGGACCTGTGATGTTGAGAGAGGAGGAGCACTGCTGGCCCACAGAGTCATCTGTCTGGCTCCAGTCTCCATGTCCCACATGGACACCTCGTTGTTCCCCTGCACGGCAGAGATCACCCAGGACTGCTGGCTCGGGTGCATGCACAGCTTTCTCACACGGGCACCTGGCAGGGGAGATCATCATCATCATCATCATCATCATCATCATCATCTACATCTACATCATCATCTACATCCTCATATCGTCATCATCTACATCATTATCACCCAGGACTGCTGGCTCGGGTGCATGCACAGCTTCCTCACACGGGCACCTGGCAGGGGAGATATCATCATCTACATCAACATCATCATCATCATCTACATCATTATCACCCAAGACTGCTGGCTCGGGTGCATGCACAGCTTCCTCACACGGGCACCTGGCAGGGGAGATATCATCATCTACATCTAGTATCATCATCATCTACAGCATCCTCAGCCTCATCATCACCAACAATCATCACCATCATCTACATCATCATCATCATCATCACTACATCATCATCTACATCATCATCATGTGTATCATCATATTGTCATCATTTACATTATCATCTGCATAATTGACATCATCATATTTATCTACATCATCATCACCTGCATCCTCATATCATCATCATCTACATCATCATATGCATCATCCTCATATTTATCTACAACATCATCTACATCATCATCATCTGCATCATCTACATCCATCATATTTATCTACATCATCTACATCATCATCATCTGCATCATCTACATCCATCATATTTATCTACATCATATTTTTCAACATCATATTTATCTACATCATCTACATCATCATCTAAGTCATCTGCACCATCATCATCATCTACATCATCATCTAAATCATCATTTACATCATCATCATCTGTATCAACAAAATCATCTACACCATCATCATCAACATTTACATCATCATCACTCTTTTGCTGCAGCTCCTACTTTTGTGTTTTCCACCCTTCCCTAAAAATTAATGAAACTTTCAATGAAAGGGCCACAATTACCTGTGGGATACATTTTACATGTAGTCTGACAGCTACCAACACAGCCAGCTGGCTGACAGACTAACCTGTGGGATGGTTGACAGTTGATATGGGTAGTTGGAACCTGAGGTCCCAGCACACATGGGTACCACTGCTGGTACCGACACCCAGCCAGCACTGTTTGTGGTCCACAGCAAAGGACGTTATCAAACCTGAACAGACACAAACTTGTGTGACAAAACTAATACTGACTTATAAACTAGACCAGGTGATTTTACAATAATTATTCCATAACATTTGTTTGCCCTAGTATACTGTATGGTCCTGATAATATTTGACTTTAACATGAATCTGAACACCATAACACACTATAACAGGTAAACTGTGGTGTAGTATAACAGTTCAGAATCTGTATTCTTTTTCTGACGAAAGGTAGTGGATGCTACCTGAAACGTCTGACCGTTTCCAAAATCATATCCAATCTATATTGCTTCAGTATTTACTGCTTCTTGGCATGTATTCCTTATCTACATTAAAACATTTCTAGAGAGTGCTCAGCAATGCCGATGATATTGATACAAAATATAATGTACATTTAGTAAATGGAGTTGACAAGGAAGTTTTCCTTTCATGTTTTGCTGGGTGTCTGGACAACTCACCATATTTGGGGTCGTTTTTGAGTTTCCAGGCCTCGCCAGGCGCTCGTAGATCCCAGCCCACCAGGTTCCCGTGGACGGTCGCGTACACCAGGATGGACTGGGACCCTGTCATGGAAAGTGGCATATTCTGCTTACTATTGGCAAGTGGTGTGGCCTGACGTTGCGCCCTTGGGACAGGCACTTTACATGACTTTCTCACCTGTACGGTGGAGTGACGCCCACCGAGCCTCTTAGGCTAATCTGTCTAATTGTGTGCCAAAAACACACTACGGATTTGGTGCGCCAATGTGTCAACATCAGCACATTTGAGCCGTAAAATTCTATTTTTTTAAGTACATGTATTCTGGTCTTAGGCTTTGTGATCTTAACCCAAAATCTTTTAAGCTAACATAATATGATATACTGTTGGACTTGCTCCTGAGGTATTGCCAGAAACTGCCCACCTGTGTCAAAGTGGTTCATGTCCACCACACACCCCTCGGCCTGTAGGTCCAGCTCTCTCGAATGTAGGATGGAAATTCTGGGAGTCCCTGGCTCAACTCTGGAACAAAGTGGAATGACCATTTAATCGGGTGTGACACTTCCTAAAGTGTACACAATTCTTCCTGAATTCCCCAACATATCACCCCACATACATGTACCTCCCACCCAGCAGGTCACCTTCAGGCTTGACATCCCTATCAATCAACTGGCAAAATCACCTTCCACCCCCCATGCATGAAACTGGAATTTAACAACCCACTCACTACTGCCCCTATGGTCTGAAAAAGGCTATGGTACTTTGTTAGTTTCTTCAAGTTTTCTTTTTACCTGGAAGTGGAGTCGTGTGGCGTCACGACAGAGTGCTTGACTCAGAACCAAGAGGTCCCGGGTTCAAGATCCTGACATGCCACCAATCGTGTGCATTTGGTAAAGGCACTTAACATAGCTTTCCTCACTTAATTCAAGTGAAAATGAGTATTGTCTGTAATGTATTTGTTTCTATGACTATGTGAGGACACAACACCAGCAATAGCTGCCTCTGTCCCACGTGTATTGTATTATTTCTTGTTACAATTTCAATAAATGAAATCAAATCAAATCAAATCATTGACAAGTAAAATCAATGTTCAACACTCCATCACTTACCTGATGACGTGTATGGATCCGTTGTCAGAGGCAGATGCCACGGAGTGGGAAGATTGACAGAAGGTGAGACACTTGATCTGCCCGCCCTGCCTGGTGTAGGTGACCCTGAGAGAGAGAGAGAGACCTAAAATAAAAACCTTCGCAGCACAAGTGCTGAATTGCGGCTTTTGTACAAAAAGTCACAAACATGTCCTTCAACACGTCCATCAGGACTCACATACATGTATTATACATTACACATTACAAATAAGAGTCTAAAACCTGGAAGATCACTAGTACCACAACTTAACCATTGGCCTGCTGGCAATTTTTACACAATATTTTCAAATAATTTGAAGTCTTAATCAGGTCACAGACAGACTTTTTTTGCCCTGCGGTGGCGTAGATACTTAGGCATTCCGTTTTGCTGTGGTGTGATGCGTTGCACGAGAAACACCCCCAAATATATATATATAGGTGGTACTGTATGTGCAACCCATATATGTGGTCCCCGCAGGACAAGGGTTAAAAATCTATTATAACATTTGATAAACATTGACCTGGAGCGGTTGGTCACACCCTTCCCCTCCATGCGCTGGCAGTCCCAGATCTTCACCGTGCCGTCGTTAGAACACGTGCTGAAGAACTGGTGATCGTGGCTCACCGAAATTCTACGCAAAATAAACATTACAGCGCTTGAAATATGCATCATGTGAAAATCATTACAGATAAGAATTAAGATTAACAATAATGTCATGCATATGAATATTAACTTTGATTGTTTTGTGTATTATCATTAACCGTTAAACCTGTCTGACCATTCAATGGACTTGAAAAAAATGGTCACAGTAGACTAGGCATGCTCTATTCTTGTACACATATTTATGTACAGTCAGATAATGTAATGCTTGGATCAGAAAGAAAAATAGTCAAGGAGACCACCAAAAAGTTAATCATAATGCATAGGTTGTCACAAGACTGACTATGGATCTAATTGACCATTCATTAACAAATATGTATACTAAGCATTGTAATCTAAATAGGATAGAGGATGATCAACACTTTGTATTAGAATGTAGTTTATACAACGAAGAGAGAGCAGAGCTTTATAAACTATTGCAATGTATGTTTCCCCATTTCATACATCTTAGCAACACAGATAAGTTCATATTTCTGATGGTTTTATACAAACCTTCGATTATAAAACACATCTGTACTTATATCTACATCATTACTAAGAAGCGAGAAGAAGCCAAATTATCGTCATTATTAGACTATATGTCCATAGTACATAGAATTAGTGCTAGCTGGTACATTGTATATATTCAGTTGCAAACTGTGACGTCTTTCCTGTGACCTGTACTGAACCCAGTGGATATTTGCGTACAATAAAGGTCTTCATGCATTCATTCATTCATTAATAAAATTTAACCCCATCAGAACCGGAGAATTGGTAGCTATAGCCAATTGGCTATTTCAGTATGCTAAAACCTTCAGTATGTTCAAAATCAAAACAAGACTGAATAAACAAGCGTACCTGTTGACAGCGGCCTTGTGCTCGTGCAGATGTGCGACCAGCTGACCCTTGGGTCTCCACCCCAGGGGTGGGGACTTGGTCTCCCACACGGAGGTCTCCATCAGAGTCTTGGTGGCCATGTCTGCGGCAAACTGTTCCCTCTTGTGCTGGACCAGCCTTCTGAGTTCCATCTTACATGTGGCATGGCGGACTAGAAGGAGAAGGAGAGGAGGGCACAAAACATCATGACTTCGCAGGGCTTGAAATTCATTTTTGGGAAAGGTGCACTGGTGCACCCAACCTAAAAAATTGGAAGTCATAAAACATTTTGGGTGCACCATATAGAAAAAGTAGAATGTCAGCAAAAACTAATTATGTCTAATTTCTAAAGAAAAATACTACAACTTGAAGAATTTTCTTATCTTTCTGACACTTGGATGTCAAGAACAAAGTCATGTTGTATAGCAGTATACATTTAACATTGTTGCATACAACGTATGTAAACCTACAAAAATATTTCGGTGTACTGGTGCATCCACAGAAAAAAAATGGGTGCACAGCTCCAATTTTTGGTGAACTATGGTGCACATGCACCCAGTATTTCGAGGCCTGCTTTGGCATAGGTGATAATTTTTTTTAATATTTACATACAGTGTTTCTCATTTTTGTGGTAAACCCATATTATGTTCTGTCTCCTAGTGTTGCAACCATTATTTCAACTGCAATCTTAACTACAAGCTCTAAATCTTTGTGGCAGCAGGAAATAAACAATGTAAGTGCCAAAACTTATGAAGTCAAAGGGAGAGATAAAATTCTAGCCCTTTAAAGTCCTACAAATAAGAAGTATCTAATGAAAGTGTGCAGCATACAGTTTTTTTACTTCTTCAAATTTTAAAGGTTTTTCAATTTCTAAATAAAACCAGACATACCCTGTACATTGGTGCTTCTAGTTTCAGGGACTCTCTCTGTTGTTGGTGGTTGTTTTTTGGGAGACCCTCCTGTGTCAGTATTAGCCTGTAGCTGGCTCATACTGATGGGGGCATTCACTGAGATGGTCTTGGTCTGGAAAATAAAGTTTGGTATATAAGTCACATGGTCTTGTGAAACCTGGGAAAACATTATCAAAATATCTCTATCTCAACAGTCACTGACAAAAACTAGTGGATGCTGCATGAAATGTCTGACAAAATGAACATTTTTACATGTAGTCTGCTAAAGATTGCACATTCATATATATGAACTATCAGGTAGTTTAAATTTATTTACATGATACATTATTGATATTTCTTGATAAATTATGGTATATGGATGAAAGGAAAGTGACCTCAATCCAGTTTCACATTGTAGCTCACTGATCAACAGTACTGTTCTTCCACTGGTCGTGACAGAGAAGACAGACACTATGTGCAGTATTTACAGGTTCATTGTACCAGGGAAATTCCAGTAGCTCTTTTTCACCAATTAAACACAATGAACTTAACATCCCATCCTATGGTCTGCGACCCTTTCCAGTAGCATGCATGCATGAGTGAGAACGGTCGGGACTCGAACTCCAAACCTCATGATCCAGAGGCAGGGTTGCTAACAACTGGACTACACACACTACATGACAAAATTGCACAAACAGTGTACAAAATAATTTTTTAACCAGGGCAACCTAGGGCAAAAATTTGGTTGCCCATCAGAATTTTAAGTTACTACTTTCCTCAAATTAAGTAATGTTACATACATAAGCCTTTGACAATATTTCTAACAGCCTTTAGTTAACTAATACTAGTAATAGCCATTAATACGGTAACCTAAAATCAGAAAGCATCTGCCGGATACAGTGGTGCAACCCAAGTGGGCATGATTTTTTTTTTGGGGGGGGGGGCATTCTTAAATTTAGGTAGCACACTGGGCTACCTTGGTTCAAAAATTGGTTGCCCCAAGTAAAAGTAAAATTTGGTTGCCTGGGGCAACTGGGCAACCTGGTATTTTGCACGCTGACAAATGAAGACTAAATTTCCAACTGACCTGGTGGGTTGGCTGTGCCGCCCCCTGCGAAGCTGCTATTGGCTGGTTCAAACTCTGACTGAGTGGGTCTGGTTGGAAGGCAGGTTTAACTGTCTGGGCGGGGAGAGACTTGGGTTCGCTGGACGACGAGCCAAACATGCTCTGCCACTCTTCATTCTGGAAGGAGGATAAAATTGGCATTAAGGAGGCCATATACATGTATATCAGGGCATTCCAGCCATCACTTACATGTAATAGAGATGGTGGACAATATAAAATCCCTGGCAATTTTTATCAATTGCTTAGGCCACGTGTTAAGTCTTGTATGAATAAGATCATGTGTCTGTAACAGTAACTCTTGCGAGATTTTGAAGTGATTGGTCATTAATTATCCTGATGAAGGCGACAGTGGTCGTTGAAAATTTGATCTCTGTGTAACCTTGTGTTGGAATAAAGTGCAACATTTTACTATAATTACTACCAACACAGATGAATGTTCATGATACTCCCAGCTACCTAACACCATATCTAATATAAATTTGGTGCCAAACAGCTACCCTAGCCTGGTGAAGGTTAACAAAAGCAGTTAGATCTAGCAGTGTTGCATACTATAGTAAAACGTTAAACTTTATTCCAACACACTATTTACAGGGATCAAAT